ACTTTTATTTTGCTGTACAGGGTCTATTTACAAAGATTTATAATTAAACACCCAACACTTTATCACATGTGTATGTGAAGGTGTAACCAACCCAGGTGGGTGGTCAATCACAACATGTGACAAAGTATGTAAAAAAAATATCAACAACTAAATTACAAACCCCTCCCACCGGAAATGATGTCACATTATGTCATATGACATCATTGCTTAATGACGTCATGCACTTAGCTGCATACGTCACTTCCATTAATTTAACTTTTTGCCAAATTTATCCCAATTAAATTTAATTAGCCAATTAATTTCCTTGTGGGGTGGGGGTCGTTACCCACCACAAGAGGGGGACAGCCTAGCTAGGCATCTCCTCTCTCCCCCCCCCATAGACCATTCTTTTAATATGTTCAGAGAGTGCCTGAACATAGATCTCCGAACCTTCTGTGAAGAGGTACACCCCATCCCCCCTGTACAGCTGTGGCCTATCCAACTTGATTCCCAAATGTTCAATTATAAAAATACCAAGTCTTGATAGCTGTTTAGCTACTTAATGATTTAGCTACCGTCGAGCACTATTAATGGTGGCATCTTTGCGAGGTCTAGGCCAGCTACGCCTTGGCAGCAGCTTAGTCCATAACAAAATAGCTCCAGGGACAATCTTTCTTATTTCCTGGAGGTCTTTCACCATCTGCTTCACTAACTGAAGACACAGGACTTTCACTAAGTCATTCTCCCCCAGGTGTATGACTAGGACACGGGGTTGTGGATATGACCTTGACAGCTGGATAATCCAGGGAAGCAACACTCCCCATAGCATACCCCTGTGACCAAACCATTGTGCAGCGCCAGTGTTCACCAGCCCTAAGGTAGTATCACACCGATGTACGAGAAAGTGGCGTTCTGCCCAAAACACTAAGCTGTGGCCCACAATCCAAATCTTGCCATGGAAAAAAGCCAGCTGAAATGCAAATAAAGCCATTAGTATAATTAATTGGAATTAGTGTTCCCCGAAGGCCAAACATAAGACCTAAATGCCTTAGAATGCCACCGGCCAATTTGGTGAATATTGGCTTCATTTAAACCGTGTCTGGCTGCAGCCATTGCCACACCGATATGGAAAGAGTGAGAAGAGAAATAAGCCTGGGGCAAATTAGCTCACCTTAATGTTTCCTTCAACACCGCCCTGAATTGAAACTGAGTTAAAGGCATGCCAGATACGTGGAGCAACAAATAACCTGCCACTTTTGGCCTAACCCTCATATAATCAACCATTGCTAATACCGGGCAAATTTGCCTGCTAGGCGCTTTAGCTAAGGAAATAGTCTGACCTTTTGCCAACTAGTCAGTCTTCGAGTGCCTAATGCAAATCTGAATCCCCTGTTCTGTTAAGAGAACATCCGAAATTAGAAGTGCCCTATCAGACTGGTCATTGCGAGATCCAGGAACAATCTCGCTAATCTGCAAAGCTGCAAAGAAAACAATGGCAAATACTGCCTTGAACAAAGCCACTTCCTCCAGTGAATAACATGTATTGGCTAATTGTTCACGGAGTCACCCTTTGGATAAGATAAATTATTAATTAACCTAAATTCCCCAGGGGCTTTCTTGAGCACCACACCGAAAAGGGATAAACGAAGGGTGGGAATTGGCATATGATCGTGAGGTCCTGAAATCCTTCCAGCAGCTATCTCTTTTGCCAACTTATCCCTTACGATGGCCAGCAAATCCTTCACAGAATGAGCATTGAGCGCATAACGATGTATCCTAGAACCTGTATAGGGGATGCGAAAACCCCGAGAGAAACTGTAAAATAAATAAGTTGCAGCATCCTTGTTTGGGTAGGTCCACAGCTAAGCCACCATTGCATCTAATTTAATTGGTGATGGAGCCTTTTCCTCCTGGGGACACTGGCTGGGGCACACCCATCACTCCTGACCACTGACCTCTCCTGCAGGAAGCGCCGGGGTGACCACCCCAGCAGGTGTTACACTTTTGATCAAACCTGCAGGGCTGCCTCTTGCACTTACCTGTGTTAAAATCCCAGCATATGCCAAATTGTTTTCTTTCTCCTGTACCAGGCCTTGCACTCTGCCTTCTCAGCTGAGTAACCATGGGAACGAACCCATTGTTACACCTGCTCGAAGGGGAGGCCCCCACCATTACATCTGCCCATAGTTCAGATTGTACATGTCTCCAGGACAGGGAGCTATCTTGGGCAGCCCTCATTCTGAACTGCTCATCATATTGGAACCAAGCTGCACCCCTAGCATTATGATGGCAGTTGGTATAGCCTTTTATCATGATCTTCTGATACTTAGAAAAATCAGGAGACCAGTGGGGCTCTTTTTCGTCAATAACTCCCCTATAAATAGTAAAAGCCATGATCCAATTAATGAAATTGCACTCCAGCTTAGGGCGTTTGAGCTCCTGAAACTCTTTTGGGAGGCTAAACACTATTCCATCCTTTACCATGATCCTTGGCTCAGGATCCCTAAAAGTAAGAGAAAATGAATCAATATAATCTCCCTTCCAAATTCTTTCTTTAATAATAATAATAATAATAATAATAATAATAAAATTTATTTATATACCGCCTGGTGGCCAAAAAATCTAGGCGGTTTACAAGCTAAAACACAGAGTTAAAATTACATGGCTTAATAACAAATTTCCCCCCCTCTTAAAAATCAAATTAAACTAGGTATCAATTAAAACAGTACTTATATCAACAATAAGAACAAACCAAATAGGTTAAGCTTGCAAACGATACAGCTTAGTGTTCACAGGGCTGTAAGGACAGCCTTAAAGAGAGGTCCCAGAACCCAAAATCC